ATAAAATCATAAAATCAGAAGCTAACCTAGGCAATGTTCTTCTGCTTGGAATAATAATCTCTTCAATGCAACTCGTGTACACCACAAGAAGCAAGAACCGTAGCCAATCAAGCTCTTGGCTTTTAATGGTACTACATACGATTTCACTTGAACCTTTCAATAAAGGAGAGTTATCTTAACTATGCTTTTGTGCTAGCAAATGGGGCAACATTTGTCCCTTTCCACTACTCACAAGGATGGCTGAATCACACGCTTGAAAAGTTGCTTCAAAAACAATTTTTTTTTCACAAAGTAGGTGGTGGCACACAAGGAGAGAACTCTTTTCTTTTCTTTTTTGACAACTCTTTTTCATATGTGGAAAATAAGTTAAATGTGATTTATATAGCTATGTTAAAATTAACTTTAATTTTTCAATAAACCCCTCCATATTATAACACATTAATATATAGGCCCATGACTTAATTAAACTAGTTTAATTAATCCCAATGGAAATTAAATTGAAATAATTTCCTTTATGTTATTACAATTTTGACATTATAATTATAACTATTCATGTATTATACCCAAAAACTTAACTAAACTCTTTTAATTAAGTTTATAGAAGTTGATTAACTAGCATGAGATTTAAGTCTAACTTAAATCATCACTCTCCCAATTTAATTCAAATGCAATCATTATGTGTGACACATTAGGTTCCTAACATGTTGGCAATGGAATTGATTAATCACTTAATTGATTAATATAAATTTCAATCAATTAATTTATAATCAATTCCATAGACATGTACGAGATAAGCATTGGCCCTTCTTGCACTCTTTTTCAACAATTGAAGCCTTTCATTTGTATACCTGCGAAAGCATAAAACTAAATTAATATTAACTAAACTAAAAATAATTTAACATAAAACTAAAATAAAACAGATTAAATTAAAATAACTCAGCATGATTTAAGCTAAACTAAGAAAAACAACTAAAAACACCTAATTTTGAATCTAAATCTCAAGAACTTAGCCAATTTAATACTCAAAATATGATAAAATAACTCTATGAAATAGAGTTATCACACCTCTAAAGCATAGAAAAGAAAATAGGCAAGCAGATTTTTTGGCAGATTTGGTGTTAACGATTGAATCAACAAGCACAAAATTAGAAGTTCCTCTGTGCAAACGATGGATTTAGCCACCAGTCGCTCCGTGTTAAAAAGGTCGATGTAGAATCTAATGTCACCTCAGTCATTGAAGTGGGCAAAAAAGATTAGCGACAATCATTAAGTGACTGCCTAAAGCATGGAAAACTGCCTAATGATCCAAGGCATAAAACAGAAATAAAACGTTGAGCTCTTATATTTATTTATTTCAAGGGTGCACTTTCTCGACGTTTTTTCAATGAAGTCTTTTTTGAGGAGATGAAGAAACATACATAGCCTTGAACGAAGCTCACTCAGGAATTTTTGGGGTGTATCAATTGTTAGGATGAGCCTTGCAACCAATTGGGACTAGTTAAGGCTTGATTCCTATCATGTAACAATATCATCCATGTTGAATGATTAAAGGTTTTCCTGCATCAATAAGATGCTAATTATAATGGGTCATAAGTCTAACTGGATGAAGTCCATGAGATTAATATGCCTTGCAAGGAAATTATAATGGGTTGCGATTATGAGATCCCTATGCATCAAAGTATAACCTTTAAATATTCTTGGTCGATGTATCATTGAGATTGGATACCAATGATACCTAGAGATTGATACATTCTATGTTCCTTACTTAGGAAGTAAGCAACTAATCTCATAACTTGAAGTATAGAGATACTTGGAAGTAGAATATAGGTGCTTGCTGATAACTCTATTATATGGGGTTATTTTGACACATTTTGGAGGCTTAAGTAGTTAGATCTTTGAGATTTTAGGTTCAGATTTTAGCATTTTAAGTGTTTTTCTAGTTTAAGTTTTGATTACTTGTTAAGTGATTAATTTAAGTTATTTTAGTTAAATTTTATGTTGTTTTGTTTTAAATTCTTTAAGAGTAGTTATTGCTAATTTCTCTTATGACTTTTGCAGGAAATTGATGAAAAAGGCTCATTTGATGAAAATCAGTACAAGTATGGCCATGACTTCGTTCATATATGTTTCGGTATTTTGACCATATCTCTCTCTAAACAACTCCGAATGAGGTTATTTTTAGACCAATATAATCCTAAGAATAAGATCTACAACGTTGAATTTTATCAATTCAGTTCTGATTGGATCATGGTCAAAATATTTATGAAAGTCGGAGCACTGCAGCAGTATGCAAGGA